CCAGCTCCCATTTTCTGATTTTTAAAATCTTTATATTTTTATTTATTTGTTTTGGTTTTATGTGTATGAGTGTGATGCCTGCATGTAGGGAGGTGCACCAACGTCACACAATGCCCTCAGAGGACAGAGGAGGGCGTTGGATCCCTTGGAACTGGAGTTCCGCATGGTTGTTAGCCTCCTTGAGGGTGCTGGGATTCAAACCTGGGTCCTCTGCAAGAGCAGCCAGTGCTTGTAACTGCTGAGCCAGCTCTCCAGCCCTGATTTTTTTTTATACTGCACTTTAGAGGGAAAAAGACTCATAATTTAAAAATGTTTATTTACACAAATATCAATATTATGTTTATTTTAAAAATTTGCTTATTGATTGATTGTTATTTTCTGTGTATGAGTGTTTTGCTTATATGTATTTACTTGTGCTGTGTGCATGTGGTGCTCATGGAGGCCAGAAGAGGTTGTTCAATCCCCTGGAACTGCAGTGATGGACAGTATTGACATCATGTGGGTGCTGGAAACCAAACCTGGGTCCTTTGCAAGAGCAGCCGGTGCTCCTAGCTACTGAGCCATCTTTTTGGCTCCCAGATTTATTTATTTTTATGTCTATTTATTTTGTGTGCTGAACATGTGCCATGGGATGCGTGTGGAGACAAAAGGACCTGTAGGAGTCAGTTCTGTCCTTCTACCACGACTGCTCTGGAATTGAGCTCAGATTGTCAGGCTTGGGAGCAAATTGCTCTTACCCATTGAACCATCTCGATGCCCCCCCCAGAATCTATCTATCTATCATCTATCTTTCTATGGTCTTTCTGTTTAGCCCTGTCTGGCCTCAAACTCACTGTGTAACCCAAGTTGGCCCCAAGCTTGTGACAGTCCTCCTGGCTTAGCCTCTTGAGTGCTGAGATCATAGACAGGTGCCACCATGCCTGGCTTGATTAGATTTTAGTAATTATATAACATTGGGTTTCATAGAGAATCTAGGCATTGTTCTTAATAGATGTTGTAATGCTTTTAAAAAATGGCCAAAGGTAATTTTTAAGACATGCCTGGCTGGGGCTGGTGACGCAAGCCGTTAGGGTTAGTACTGGGGAGCCAGAGGTAGGGGATCTCTGTTAGTTCCAGGCCAGTGAGGGCCACATCGTGAGAGTCTGTCTCAACCCTTCCCGGAAGACAAGCCTGATTCCATGATACATTCAATTTTAAAGGTGTTAAAACTGCATTTTAGAGTCAGTGAAATATGGTATATTCCTTTTTTTTTAAGCTGCTGGAACAGGATTTCAAAATTAAGCAGCAGTAATTTAAGTCAAAGAGTTGCTGGGCATGGATGGTGTCCCCCTGTAATCCCTGCACTCACTATGTTAAGGCAGGAGGAGCTCCACAGTTTGAGATCAGTCTGATATACATAGTGAGTTCCAGGCCAGTCAGGGTTACAAACTGAGACCTTGCCTAAAAACAAATAACAAAACCAGGTCAGTGAGATGGTTCAGTGCATAAAGGTGCTTCCCACCATCCATCCTGATGTCCTGAATTCGATCACAACCTGAGTTTGATCATTGGGACCCACATCATGGAAGGTCCCACAAGATGTCCTTTAATCCCACACATATACACACTAACACAATCAATCATCAGTCAATCAATCAGCCAATCAATCAATCAATCATCAATCAATCAATCAATCAATCATCAATGTAATTAAAAGAAAACAAACTTTGGCCGTGGCTGTCGTTCAGATAGTAGAGTGCTGTGTGTTCCATCTCCAGCATCACGTAAACCAAATGTGGTGGTGCACACCTGTTATCCCAGCACTGGGGAGGTAGAAGCAGAAGGATCAGGAGTTCAAGGTCATCCTTGGCTACTTAGTGAGTTCAAAGCCAGCCTGGGCTACATGAGAAGGCTTGCCTCAAAAACAAAGAAAGTGATCAATGGGTGAGTGACCCAGGAAGAGGGCACACTGCGTCAAGGCTGCAAGGTAGGGCGACCCTTGGAGACAGCAGAAACAAGGCTGAGAGTGAGGCCATGGGACTGGACTTGGTGAGCGTGGGGTGGCCGGCTATCTGCATCAAGATTACTGATGGGCAACTGTGTCAGAAGAGGACTGTGAATGGAAGGAATTGCAGATGATGTTGCAGGTTATGTTGGCTTTGGGGCTGGCCTAGCAACAGCTGTCATGGAGGAGATGGCTGTGGGTGGGAGGGGTGACTCAGAAGAAAGATGAAGGTGGAGCTGGGTGTGCGGGAAGGTGGTGGAGGAAGATTCAGGTCCCCCAGAACACGCTTCCTCCCCAGACAACCTCCTCTGCTCCTGGGAGGAGGACCGCAAGATGGTCCTGCGGGCCTGGTCCTTCGTCTTCATCTCCCTGGCGACTGTGTTGTTGTTCAGCGTGATAGATGGGCGGATTGCCTACCTGCAGGGTTCATACGTTGGATTCCTGGGATTCTGGATTGACTGCAGGAGGCACAAGTGTGCCAACGTGGGCCAAGTAACCGGTCAGTGCACAGGCTGCGGGGTCCTGCTGATGGGTGCTGAAGCTGATGGGGGCAGTGCTCCTGCAGGAGTCTCTCTGAGGGAGGAGCTTAGGGCCGATGGTGGGGTACATCATTGTTGTTGGATGGTAACTTTGTGAATGACAGTGGGATTATTTTGGAGGTGATTTTGGTGATGTGAGTGGGGGTGATGCTTTTCCCTTTTCAGTTTTTTTTTGAGGGGTGTGGGGGATAGAACTCAAGGCCTTGAAAATGCTAGGCAGGGCTCTGCCACTGAGCCACAGCCCAGCCCCTCACTGGGGGATTCTAGGCAGGGCTCTGCCACTGAGCCACAGCCCAGCCCCTCACTGGGGGATTCTAGGCAGGGCTCTGCCACTGAGCCACAGCCCAGCCCCTCACTGGGGGATTCTAGGCAGGGCTCTGCCACTGAGCCACAGCCCAGCCCCTCACTGGGGGATTCTAGGTAGGGCTCTGACACTGAGCCACACCCACAGCCCCTTAGAGCTCTTTTTATTTATTTTGTAACTTGGTCTCACTAAGTTGCTAAGGCAGGTCTTGAAGCAGTTGCAGTCCTGCCTCAGCCTCCCTAGTATCTGGGATGACAGGTGTGCACCACCAGGCCCTGCAGTTCAGGTGATTTGCATACAGGGGTGTCTTTTGGGCTCCTCATGGTGTCAGAGGGAGGGATCTGGGACTGAGGGTTGGGTGGCTGTAGCCACCTCTCTAACTCTCCTCCTCAGTTTACATTCACATGAGCAAGGGCTTCATACTCCTCGCCATGGCTCTGTGCCCCATCCTCCTGTCCAGCATGTTCCTGTCCTTCTGGTCAGTCTGCCGCCGCCTGAACAAGGTCGATTATGTCTTCAGTTCCCTTAGCATAGGCATCGGTAAGTGTGGGCGAGGGCAGGGGTGCCCGGGACCTCCTCAACCCCTCATCACCCCACCCAACTCCGGAGCCTCCTTCTGCCTGGAAGTGTGGCTAGATTTCCAGGTCTGCTGCCCACAGGGTTCTCTGTCTCTTATCTTGGGCTCTCTATGTAGCCCAGGCTGGCCTGGAACTCACTCTGTAGCCCAGGTTGGCCTTAAATGTGCAATACTCCTGCCTCAGCGTTCTGAGTAGCTGGGATTAAAGTCAGTGCCACCAGGCCTGGCTCATAGCTCTGTATTCCAGGTTCCCTTCCTCTCCTCACTTCTTACCAGGTATCCTTCAACCTGTCCTGTGCGTGGGGGGGGGCGGGGCGTGTGAGCGCGCGCGTGTGCCTGTGCCGGAGGGACGGGAGGTTGCCTCTGTCTCTTCCTCTTCCTGGTTGTCCCTGTCCAGCTCCAGTCCTTCTCCGGCCCCACCCAGTGCAGGGTTCCTGATTTTCTTCAGCATGACGCTCTTTGTCGTCAACTGCGTGAGGCTGAGCCCCAGGCCGCAGGTTTCCTACCAGCTGAGCTTCTACCTGAGTTGGTGTGCCAGCAGCTTGCTGCTGTGGGCCGGTGAGGGCGGGGCCTGGGCTTGGAGGGCGGGGCCTGGACAGTGGTGGGGCGGGGCCTGTGCTGGATGGGGCCGCGCCTTGGTAGGGGTCGGGCGGGGCTCGGCTGTTAGGGCTTTGTCGACGCCCGGCAGGGAGGAGCCCTGGAAAGGGTCAGCCTGGTGGGCCCCGGGGCAGGGTGAGGTGGGGGCCCTGATTCTGCACCCCCGCGCCGCCTGGTCCCCCTCCTCCAGGAACCCTGTCCTATCTCAATCAAGTGAGGATGTGGAGCTACGCCACGCCCTTCGTGGAGCGGAGGGTCAGCTACCTCCGCTGGGCCTCGCGACGCCACTTCTTGGGGTGGCACCTGCCACAGTGCCAGGCCTTCGGCTTCCAGAGCTCCGAGCCCTCCCTGCTTCTGTCTTCAAGACGCAATCTGAACTACCGTCGGAGCCTTTCGCGGGAGGACGTCCAGCTTTCTCCCACCTCTGTCCCCAGCGCCGAGGCTCCATCAGACCTCCCGTGAGGGGCAGACAGGTGGCCAGCCCCGGCCACCCAGGCTAGGGCTCACCCCTTGTGGCCCTGGGTCTTGGTCGGAACCCTATTCCGGAAATCCAACACTCCCTCTGGGTAGATCCTGGTCCATGGTCCTGCAGAGCCGTCCTCAAGCCGGTCCAGGCTCTGCCCAGCCTGCCACGCCGCTCCCAAGCCTCTCTCTCCGTCCTTTGGTCCAGCCCTGCCCTGCCCAGGGTGTCCACTCTGGGGACCCCCAGGCTGGCACTCTGCAGCCCAGACTTTGAGGCAACCATGCCTTTCTGTGGATAGGATCCTTCCCTGGAAGGCCAGACTTGAGAGAACATCGCTATCCCCTTCTTGGCTTCCTGAGCCGCAATAACACCTGGGCTGTCTAAATTTTCAGCATCTGGTCTGTGATCCCTTCAGGCTGGCAGGATGGGGTCGGGCCTAGCCTGAGCCAACCTGAGTGCAGTCCCTGACCAACTCTGGAAGGTCAGAAAGTTCCAGAACAGGAGGCTGTTTAGATGCATGGTGGGTTTTATTGGGAGCAGGGGCCAGAGTGGGATTCAGGAATTGCTCTTCATCGTGGCTGTTATCCAGTCCTTAAACTTTATAAGTTTGGTGTAGATGGCGGGCTTCTTAGGGTATCCACAATCGGGGTGACCCCATGATGTGATACCTTGGAACATACCATCGCAGATCAGTGGGCCCCCGGAGTCGCCCTGGGAACATTGGGAGAGGGACAGAAGGAGTGAGGGAGGTCTTGCTGGCCTGCTGACCCAGCTCGGTCCTGGGGTCTGACTCCCCCCAGAAGAAGGCAGTGCTGGAGAGACAGCTCTGGCCAGTAGAGAGGTTTGGAGTTTAGCTCTTACTGGGGCATGATGGGGGGGGGCACCACCAACCAGGTCAAAAGGGAGGAACAGGACCAGCTGGGTGCTGGAGTCTCCCCACCCAGGTGCACCACTTACATATGGAAGGGTAAGAATTCATAGTACCCAGATGGGGGATGGGGAGTGGGAAGGGGCCTGGGAGAGACCCACACCCAAGAGAGAATTTTGTCCCCTCCCTCAACCCTCCACCACCCTGCTGGGAGGGGCTGGCTCACCGCACAGGTGTCTTTGCCCCCTTCCATGCGCCCAGCACACAGCATGACATCCGTGACCTTCTGGAGGTGGGCAGTGACACAATATTCATTGGGCAGGAGCTCCAGGTCCACACACTGTAGATCGTCTGGGTACTGGTCTGCAGGCCAGGGGGCAAAGAGCAGTGAGCAGACCCCGGGCCAGTCCTTCCTGCTTCTCCATCAACCCCAGGCTATGTGGTGGTCTGACCCAGACATACAGTTGGAGGGATCGGTGCTGCCCCAGCCTGAGGTGAGGCATGTGCTCCCCAGCCTGGGCTCCTCGGTGGGCAGGTGGAGGACCTGGACGGCATCTGTGATTTGGGCGGCTTTGGCCAGGCGCAGTAGCATCAGGTCATAGCTGTAATCATCGTCTGGGTAGGGTTTGTCATTCTTGAGGAGGCTAAGGTTGAACTTGGGGTGTAGGAAGCTTTGACTGACAAGTCTGTGCTGACCAGAGGGCTCATCCTCAAACAGGTTGCTGCGACCCAGCCAGACCTGATACTCCCTGTGGGGAGGGAACGAAATGCAGGGAATGAGAGGAGGGAGATGGGGAAGGGCCCAGGGAGGAGAAAAGAGGGGTGGGGAAGGAAGGGAGTGAAGAAAAAGGAGAGAAAAGAGAAAGCAGGAAAAGGAGGAAGTAGAGAGAGGGACAGAATGACAGAGAAACAGAGACACAGGGACCAGGTAGAGAGAGGGGTACAGAGAGAGAGACCCAGAGAAAGAGAGTGAGAGAGAAACAGAGACATAGACCAGGTAGAGAGAGACAGGCAGAGAGAAAAAGAAAGAGAGAGAGACAGAGACAGATAGAGAGGTAGAGAGAGAGAGAGACAGAGAAAGATAGAACCAGAGATACACAGAGAAGGGAGAGGAAGAGGGAGAAGAAGGGGGAGGGCCTGGGAGCCAACCGGGGGCAGCTGGGCCTGGGTACAGCCTCCCCAGCCATCAGGGCCCGGCCCACAGCCAGGGTTGAGCTCTCTCCCCTCCCCAGCACTCTGCCCTCCTCCCTTCTCCCTCAGCAGCCCTCACCCAGCTCCAGCGCTGACCAGCCCCTCCCTGCATGTCCCCAGAGTGGACAGAGGGCCCTGCAGGGACAGGCTGGGCTGGGAAGGTGGAGTTCTCTCACACATGCACATTTGGGGACATCCCTCCCTGTCCTCTGGATACTCCCTAGGCCTGTTCTTGAGTGTGGCCTGAAGTGATGGTGCAGGAGGAGGGAGAGGAGGAGGGGGAGGAGAAAGAGAGAAAGAAGACTAAGAGGGAGAGGAAGAGAAAGGGACAGGAGGAGGGGAAGGAGATGGTGCAGGAGGAGGGAGATGAGGAGGGGGAGGAGAAAGAGAGAAAGAAGACTAAGAGGGAGAGGAAGAGAAAGGGACAGGAGGAGGGGAAGGAGGAGGGGGAGGAGGAAGAAGCAGAGGAGGAAGAGGAGGAAGAGGAGGTTGGGGATCAGGAGAAGGAGCAGGAGGGGGAGGAGGAGGAGATGGAGGGGAGGAGGAAGAAGAGGAAAGAGGAAGAGGAAGAAAGGGAAGGAGGAAAGGAGGAGGGAGGGGAGGAGAGAGGCCCTGGACAGATGCCACAGAGACACCCGAATGTGCATATAGATGGGAGAGAGAAATGGAGACAGAGAAGAAAGACTAAACATAAGCCTGGAGAGAGAAAGGATCACAGGCCCAGGAGCCCTTGGGTAGAGCGGCCCAGCCCTGCTCTGCCTCTTCCCTTTCAAACTTCAGCCATTCCGGCCCTCCTGTCCTTCAGTCCTCCAGCCTGGGCTGGAGCCATCACCACTGACTGCCCATGCCCTGCCCCCCACCGCAGCTCCCTTCCACTCACTTGTTGTAGCAGTGGGCAGCTGTGAGCACCCACTCGGGGTCTATCAGGGTGCCCCCGCACTGGTATTTGGTATAGTAGTACACCGCCACCTGCCAGGGTTGGGAATTCTTCTCACAGTCCTGGCCTCCTACGACCCTGGACTGGATGGGAGGTGCCGCACCTGCGACAGAGGTAGTGGGGGTGGGGTTAGCTCAGAGAGGGAGGTGTGTTGTAGGGGACCACAGTGGAACGGGGTTGGCATTCCGAGGACATAGCCAAGGGATTTGGGGAAGAGACCCACAGGTGGCTAGCCCTGGCTGGGGAGAGTTCTGCTGCAGGGTGGGCACAAATTGACTAGCTCCTGGCGTTTGGAGCAGGAATCAGGTCTGGGGATCTGGTCACTTAGGGCCTTGGGTTAAGGAATGGCAGCCTAGTGGTTTGGAAAGAGGAGGGGTTCTGGAAGCCAAGGACTTGGAGAACAAGAGTTGGGGGGAGGCTCTAGGGCTGGAGAAGAGGTCAGGGCCTGGGCTGTGCTTTTGGGGGTTCAGAAAAAGATAAGGTATTAAGTCTGGGGATAAAAACATCTGGGAGGGGGAGCTTGGGGGTGATTTTGGGGTCCCTGGATTGGCCTGGAAAGGGTCACCTAGGCTGGAAGAGAATGAGGGCTCTCTAGTTCAATGTGGTAGAGTTGAAGATGGGGGTGGGTCTCAGGGTTCTCACTGTGATAGAAATGGCATCTAAGAGGGGGCTGCCTGAGAACAGGGTTTGGGGCAGATGGGGATGGAGTTAAGAGATGGGACATAAAATGGGGCGGGTCTTATGGTCTGGGGGGTACCAGAGGGATTTGGGGGTTCTCCTGGAGGCAGCCTTGGGGCAGGCATGGAGAAGCAGTTCAAACAGGCTAAGCCACTGTTGTGTAGAGGGGAGGGACCCACCTGATGTGGGGTACTAGGTTCACATAATGGAGTCTTTGGGAGATCCTGGGAAAGATAGCCTGGCTGGGAAAGGTTTGGCTCCAGGTTTGGGGATCCCCCGAAAACTAGTGCTATGTGGAGGGGTTCAAGTGGGGTAGGATGGGAGCTTGGGGAGAGACAGGAAGTCAGTAATGAAAAGAGCCTGTAGCTGGTGGAGGAAGATGGGCCAAGGCATGGGGTTTAGGGGCAGGGAAAGGACACAGGACATGGTGACCCTGGCAATCTCAGCACACCAGAGGGGGCTGAGGCAGGAGGATTGCCATAGGCCAGCTTGGGTTACACAGTAAGACCTCCCCCTCCCAAGGGCCAGGGAGATGGCTCAGGCTGGTAAAGCACTTGCCATGTAAACAGCAGGACCTCAGTTCAATCCCCCAGAGCCCAGGTAAAAACCCAGGCATAGTGGCTGGAGCCTGGAACCCCAGCACTGGGAGGCAGAGACCTGAGGATCCTTGAGGCTCACTGGCCAGGCAGCCTAGCCAGATGGCAGAGCTCTCGGTTCACTGAGAGAGACTGCTCTCCAAACCAGACCAAACTAAAAGAGAGATAGGGACCCTACACCAGGAATTGGGACCCCTCTGACCTCACAAGCCACTTTGGGAAGCAGGATTGTCTGGTCGAAACTGGGTGACTTGGGAGAATTTGGGGACCAGATGTCAGGGTCTGGAGCACACAGTCTAAGGCTGATAGCTGGACAGGCAGAGTCAGCAGGTATGGGTTTTGGGTCACTGGGCCCCAGAAAAAAAGGGAATTGGAGAGATGACCAGGGTTCCAAGGAACCAGGGGTTGTGCTCCTCAGAAGGGCTAGAGAGCCTCAAAGAGAGGCAAAGAGATAGGCAGGTGGCCAGAAAAGAAGAGAAAGTCCCAGAAAACTGGAGGGGCAGGGACTTAATGTGGGACCGACTCTGAGGGACTTGGCAATGTGCAGGGCCAGGAGAGATGAACTGTCAGGTTCCCCAGGCTTGGTCCAGGTGCTCATCGGGCGTAGGGTGGGAGGGAAGGGAAAAGGACTTCCAGGAGCTCCAACCCGCTTCCTTTCCCCCAGTCTCACCAATCCCTCCCAGGGCCAGGGCCAGGGCCAGGGCCAGGACCAGGAACCACATGGTGACAGCTGTCCAGGAGCAGCAGGTGGTGAGCAAGGAGCTGAGGTGTCTCCTCCTTGGGGAGCCTTAAAAACCCTCACTCTACCCCCAGAGCCCCGCCTCTGCCCTGCTGGCACTCAGATGCAGGCCAAGGTCCCGCCCTTGTAGACAGGAGACTCCCCCCTCCTACCCCCCACAGCTGTGGAAGGGGAGGGAGAGCCGCACCTGCTGTCTCCAAGGCCCTGGGTCACCCTGGAAGCCTTCCCAGGGCCGAAGCTGGGTACAGCAGGGCCTGTAGCTCTTGGGGCTTTGGGGCCTATAGGCAGACAGGTAAGGGGGGGCAGAGAGAGAGACAGGATGGAGGAGCAACTGACCCCCATTACACAGCTTTGTACCCCAAGACCCAGTACACACTCAAAATCCACAGAACTCCAATTCCTTGTACCACTTGTAGCCAAGAGAGAAGCGAGCGCCCCCAAAACACAAGGTTTGGCTTTGAGAATGTTAGGGCTCTTGCCTTCCCAGACTCAGAATCTAGATCACTGAATTTTATTGTTTCTGTTATAATAAAAATTTGGACTGGGAGTGGTGACGTAAACATTTAATCCCAGCATTCGAGAGGCAGAGGCAGGCGGATCTCTATAAGATCGAGGCCAACATGTTGTACATAGGGAGTACCAGGCCAGCTGGGGCTACAGGGAAACTGTCTCAAAAAGACCAAAAAAGGGAGAGGGGCGGGGCTGGAGAGATGGCTTCCTGGTTAAGAGCACTGGCTGCTCTTGATGGGGACCCAGGTGTCGATTCCCAGTACCCACATGGCAGCTAACAACGGTCCCTAACTCTAGTTCCAAGCGCCCTTTTTCTGACCTCTCTGGGCATTTCACGACATGGCACACTTACACACATGCAGGCAATACACTCATATGCCTAAAAAAATTGGGGTGCACAGTATTACAATCTAAGCACCCTCTGATCCATGAATCTGAGATCTGAGGGGACTCCCAAAGAGTGTCCCCCCAAGCAATTTGGGGTCACAATGAGCCTTCTAGTCTGTATTTAAGAAGGCGTGCTCCAAGTCACATCCTTCAAAGCTCCAAAGACCTAGACTAATTTCCAGGTCAAGATATCAGCTTCAGGAGGTGGCGGCTGGAGGATTGGAAGTTCAAGGTCAGCCTCAGTTACATAGCAAGTTGGAGGTTAGCCTGAGCTCGCTCTCTCTCTCTCTCTCTCTCGCTCGCTCGCTCGCTCCCTCTCTCTCTCTGTGTGTTACAGAGGTGGAGCTGGGAATGTAGCTCAGCTGGTAGAGTGATTGCCTAGCATGTGTCAGGTCCTGAGTTCCAGTCCTAGTGTTGCATAAAACCAAGTGTGGTGGTACACATCTATAACCCTAGCACTTGGGAGGGAGAGGCTGGAGGATCAGAAGTTCAAGGTTATCCTTGGGTAATGTGAGGCCCTGTCTCTTACTAAAAAAGGTCTAGGCCTGGAGAGATGGTTTAGTGGCTAAGAGCACTGACTGCTCTTGCAGAGGACCGGGGTTCAATTCCCAGCACCCACACGACAGATAACAACCATCTGTAACTACAGTTCCAGAGGATTCAGCACCCTCTTCTGACCTCCGTGGGCATTGCACAACATGGGTGTGCTTACACACATGCAGGCAATACACTCCTACACATAAAAAAGGTCTATTATAAGTTGCAACACCCATCCCACCCTACCAATTCAATCTTCAGACCTCAGTGATCCCTTGACTTTGACATTCAAGACCACTTTTGGGGTCTCTGAAGAGAATCGGATGCAACCTAGATGGTAAGGTTACAGGCTTCCAACTTGAATCTTGACTCTGATAAAAATCAATACGGCAGCACGCAGCATCCCAGTCTTGTCGCCATGGCTACCGGGAAGCATTAAAGGTGGAAGATGAAGTCATTTTTGGTGATATAGCATGTTGAGTCTTCTCACTGGGATGCAAATTTCCTGAGTACAAATAAAGTGTCAGATGTTGTTCTGATCAATTAAGATGCATGACCTCATTTAATCTTTAAAGACACCTTAGGAGACAAGCATTATATTATAGCAACCCCATTTCACAGACGGGAAAACCAAGGATGAGAGAGACTGGGCCCCTGATCCAGGTTCCTACACCTTATCCATTGAATAAGCAAAGCCCTACTTGAAACCATGTTCCTTTACCCAGGGAAGGGGATCCTGGGTGACATGGAACAGTAGACCCTGTTTCCTAGCTCCCCACCCATTTCTTATCAGCACCTAAGGAAAGTGACAGACACTTTTACAGAGAAAACTGGATTAAAGTTGTTAGCTTGGTATTAAGCAGGTGACCTCAGGCAGGGACCTTGGTACAGAAGGGCCTGGTTCTGTCTGGATGGGGCTTCTGGACAGCCATGGGGTCTTGGTCAGGGCCCCAGGTGGTCATTGTTGGCCCTGGGAGGCCAGTGAGGGCCCCAGGTGGTCACTGTGGGCCCCAGACAGTCAGTGAGGACCCCAGGAGGTCAGTGAGAGCCCCAAATAGTCAGTGAGGGTCCCAGGTGGTCAGTGAAGGCCCCAGATGGTCAGTGAGGACCCCAGCTGCTCAGTGAAGGCCCCAGGAGGTAAGCAAAGGCCCCAGGTGGTCAGTGAGGGCCCCAGATGGTCAGTGAGGACCCCAGGAGGTCAGTGAGAGTCCCAAATAGTCAGTGAGGGTCCCAGGTGGTCAGTGAAGGCCCAAGATGGTCAGTGAGGACCCCAGGTGGTCAGTGAAAGCCCCAGGTGGTCAGTGAAGGCCCCAGGAGGTAAGTGAAAGTCCCAGGTGGTCATTGTGGTCCCTAGGCAGTCAGTGAGGACCCCAGGGGGTCAGTGAGGGCCCCAGGTGGTGGTCCAGTGAATCAGTTCCTCTTCATGGTTTCCCGGATCCACTCCAGGTAGCTGCAGACTTTGGTGTAGACACCAGGCTTGGTGGTGGTATCACAGGGAACGTCCCCCCAGGACACAATGCCCTGTAGGGCACCACTACACACCAGGGGTCCTCCGGAGTCACCCTGGGGGAGAAGAGGGGTTCTTAGGGCCAGTAGGAACTTCCTGAATATTTCATCTCATGTAGTGCAGACTCCTGATCCTCCAGCCTCCACCTCCCAAGTGCTAGGATGACAGGCATGTGCCAACATGCCTGGTTTGTGTGGTACTGGAAATGGAACCCAGGGCTTCATGCTCTATGCAAAATCAAACCAAACGTGTGCTCACTCAACGCAGCCTAATCTCAGTCTTTATGCCTTCGGTACCCTTCCCCCAAATCCACCCCATCCCACAACAACCCCAACACACTTCCCAATTCAAACCAAACTCACTATCCTGTGGTTTCCCGGGCCACATCATCCAGACAGACCCCCATCTCTAGCCCCATCTCCTAAATGCCTTTGGTATTCTGTCCCCAAACCTAACCACAGCTCTGCATTCAGCCTGTTCTGTCCTAGTAAGCATATTTTGTCAACTTGACACAGCCTAGAGGCATCTGAAGGAGCCTCAATTGAGTCACCCAAAAATTGGATGGGCCTGTGGGTGTGTCTGTGGGGGGTTATCTCGATTGCTGGTTCTCGTGGGAGGGTCTGGCCCACTGTGGTCGGCACTGTCTCTATACAGGAGGTCCTGGGATGTATAATGAGGTTAGCTGGGGAACTGCAGAGATGGCTCAGCAGTTAAGAGCAATGGCTGCTCTTGCAGAGGACTTGGGTTTGATTCCCAGCACTGACCTGTTGGCTAACAACCATCCGATGCCCTCTTCTGACCTCTGTGGGTGCACTTTATACACATGCAGGCAACACACTCATACACCTCTCCTTCCACCCTATGTCCCCCTCTTGACTCTGACCTCACAGGAATCCGTGCCTCCACCCTCGATGCCAGCACACACCATAGTACGCAGCACTCGACCTGGATACTCCTTGTTACATGAAGCTTCCGAGATAATGCTGATGTTGGCACAGTGCAAGGTATCTGGGACGCTCACTGAGGAGGACAGTGGGCTTAAAGTATATCCATAACCCTTTGGCCCTCATCCCCCTCCACTTAAGAGCCCTGGAAGACAGGGTGGCTGGAGGCCTGACATCCAGCTCCATCCTTCCATGCACCTTGTGACTCTGGGCTCCCTGTGGCCCCAGGCTCCTTGTCTGACACCAGGCCCCAGCCAGACACCACACAGGATTCACCAGGACGTGGGCAGCGTGTAGGTAGAGCCACTGGATGCACCTGGGGTGACAGACGTGCAGGCTGTAGAAGTCGTATCAACATGACGTCATGCCGGTGAGAGCGGGCCTCATAGTTGGGATGCGGGATGATGCGGGAGACTGCCCGCAGCTGCTCTGGGCCATCCCGCCTGCGCAGGTTGTGCTCGCCCAGGCGGACTCTCATGAAGCTGTGCGGGGGAGTGGTTACAAGCATATATGTGAAGGAGCAGGTGGAGACGTCAAAGAGTGGACAGCATGGGGTCATTGAGAATCTCTTTCCTCAAAGCCTTGAAGCTAATGGCTCTAGCCATGGCCCCTCAAGAACCCAGTAGGTAATTCTGAGATGGAGGCCGGCCTGGTCTAACATAGCCAGATCCAAGACACACAAAAACAAAGCGACCCACCCAGGAGTCCCAAGTCATGGACACGTCTGGAGCCCCTTCCTTCTTTAGAATCTAAAAGTCTCAGATTCCCTAGAGCCCTCCCCTACCAGGGACTCAAAAGACGAGGGGTCTTTTCCATCCTCTCTTCTGTACTTTAGGAACCTAAGGAGGCAGAATCCATGCCCTGGACCCAGGGCCTTCACCTCTAGCCTCTCCATCTCTCAGAAACCAAGAACTTGGGTCCCCTCCCCATTAAGCCCAACAGTCCAGATACCCCAAACCTAGCAGCTCCCACCCTCAGCCATGCCCTCCCCTCCAAGTCCTGCTTCGTACCGGGTTTGGCAGTGGGCAGCAGAGAGCACCCAGTATGGGGAGATGAGTGAAGCCCCACAGTTAAAGCGGCCACGTTCGAAGAGGGCCACCTGCCAGGGCTGAGAATGAGGCACGCACTCCTCGCCTTCCAGCATCTTGTCGCCATCCTGGGCTGGGGAGAGAGAGGGGGAGAAAATCCCTCCCTGAAGATCCTTCGGCCTCTTCAGCATTTCTGCTAGCTCATGACAGTGGCAGAACAGACCCCAGAGCTGGGGGGAGGAGACAGCTGGATCCGGGGGCTCACTGCCAGCTAGTGTAGATGCATGATGAATTCTGTGAGCGACCCTCTCTCAAAAACCAGAGGGGTAGGAACCAACTGTAACTCCAGCTCCATGGGATCAGATGCCCCCTTCTGGCCACTGCAGGTACTGCATTCCTATGCACATACACACAGAGACAGATAATTAAAAAGGCCGGCCTGGTCTGCAAAGTGAGTTCCAGGCCAGCTGGGGCTACTAAGGAGACCCTGTCTCAAAATTTTTTTAATTAAATAAATAAAAATTAAAAATACTTAAGGGGGATGGAGTGATGGCTCAGTAGTTAAGAACACTGATCTTTCAGAAGACCTGGGTTTGAATCCCAACACCCACATGGCAGTTAACAACTGTTCATAACTCCATTTCCAGGGTACACCCTCTTCTGTCCTCTAAGGGTATTGCATGACACAGGTGCACTTCTATACATGCAGGCAATACATACACATAAATAAAAAATAAAAATAGGGGCTGGAGAGATGGCTCAGCAGTTAAGAACACTGGTTGTTCTTGTAGAAGACCCAGGTTCGAATCCCAGTACCCACATGGCAGCTAACAACTGTCCATAACTCCAGTGCCAGGGAATCTGACAGCCTCTTCTGTGTCCCGCGGGCATTGCACGTCATAGGTGCACTTACCTACATGCAGGCAATATGCACATACACATAAAATAAAAATAATAAATAAAATATTTTAAAAAATAAAAATAGCTGGGCATGGTGGCACACGCCTTTAATCCCAGCACTTGGGAGGCAGAAGCAGGAGGCTCTCTATGAGTTCAAGTCCAGCCTGGTCTACATAGTGAGTTCCAGGACAGCTGGGGCTATAGGGAGACCCTGTCTCAAAAAGACAAAAAATTAAATAAATAAATAAATAAATGAATAAATAAATAAACCACACACCCAACTTAAAAATAGGTGGGGAAGCAACTGAGGATGATTTCCAGTGACAAAATCTGGTTTCCACCTGCACCACGCATACATGCATACACTGCACACACACACACACACAGACACACACACACACAATTTCCCCACACCTGCACACACATGCATACATTACACACATACACACAATCAGAGCCCCCCATACCTGCGCACACATGCATACACTACACATACACACTACACACACCCTACACACACACTCACACACACTACACACCCTCACTCACATGCACACACACTATACACACTCGCACATACACTATGCACACTCACACACCACACACACTACACACACACTACACACACTACATACACCCTCACATGCACACACACTATACACACACTATACACACACTACACACACACACATACACACAGTCTTACCTATTCATTTGAAGCTCCATGTTATGTTCTGGCTTTGACAACCATTGCCTTTTGTAGAATCGGAGCCCCCCCCCTTCCTTTGGGACTCTGGGAGAGGAATGGGGGGGGGGCGAGGGCAAGACTGCTGTATGACTGGAGGTGAAGAAGGGTCACTTGGAGCCAGTTGCTCAAGGCTACCACAGACATCAGACAATGCGGTGGCTGAACATGTGTGACACTCAGTCTTGGTCCTGGACTCTGCACATCTCAACCAAATTTGGGGAACCATGCAAGACAGCATGGACACATGGACAGCATGGACACAGCCAGACACAGGGACAGTTGGGGACAGCACTCTAAAGTGGAATTCACTCGCAGGCAGATTGGTCACAGCTCAAGAGCCATAGTGAAGGGGCTGGAGAGATGGCTCAGTAGTTAGAGCACTGGCTGCTCCTGAAGCGGACCCAGGTTCAGTTCCCATCACACACGGCAGCTAACAACTCTCTGCAGCTCCAGGTCCAGGGGACCCGATGCCCCCTTCTGGGCTCTCATGGGTACTGCATTCGTTTGGTGCACATACATACATGCAGACAAACATGCATACCCAGAAAATAAAAATAAATCTTGCAGGTGTGGTGGCACACGCCTTTAATCCTAGCACTTGGGAGGCAGAGCCAGGCAGATCTCTGTGAGTTCAAGGCCAGCCTGGTCTACATAGTGAGTTCCAGGACAGCTGGGGCTACAGGGAGACCCTGTCTCAAAAAGACCAAAAAGGAAAAAAAAACCAAACCTCTTTTAAAAAGACCCCCAGTGGGGCCGGGCTGGTGGTGCACGCCTGTAGTCCCAGCACTTGGGAGGCAGAGGCAGGTGGATCTCTGTGAGTTCAAGGCCAGCCTGGTCTTGAACCAGGCCATAGTGAGTTCCAGGCCAGCTGGGGCTACAGGGAGACCCTGTCTCAAAAAGACAAAAAAAAAAAAAACAAAAAAAACCCACCCCTAGTGACGATGTTTATATGCACAAAAACACCCCTAGTGACAATGTTTATATGCACATATGAATATGGATTGCTAGGACATGGCACACATGTGCACACACAGCACTGGACAGAGGTCAGACCTAAAGTCACAAGTCTCCAGCGTGGGGCTTGGCATCCAGCGTCATCTGTTTCACCAAATGGACAAAGAAGATGGAGTGGTCTTTAACCCTGGGCTCAAATGTACTTTCAATGAGACCCTGACCTGTGTGTGTGTGTGTGTATGTGTGTGTGTGTGCACGCATGCACACGTGCATGCGCATGCACCCACATAGGTGTGCATGGAGGCCAGGGATGACCCCTGGTGTCCTTCCTCAAGGGAGATGAACCTTGTTTACAAAGACTGGGTCTCTCTCGGGAACCGGGGCTCACTGATTTGGGTTCCCTGGCTGACCAGCGAATCCCAGGATCTGCTTGTGTCTCCCTTCCCAGTGCCGGGATTACATGCACGAGTGGCTTTGACATGCACACTCGGGGGTCCTCAGGTTTGTTCCCTCAGCAGTTTACGGACCGAGTCATCGCCCCACCTGGGCTTTGACCTCCTGGTGCCTGTTTCCTCACCTGTTAAAAAATGGGGATGTGTGGCTGCGAAGATGGATAGGGGTCTGTGTGTGCATGTGTGTGTACATGTGCATGTTTGTGCATGTGAATATATGTGTGCTTGTGTGCATATGTGTATTTGTGTATGTGTGCATGTGTGCTTATGTGTGTATATGTGTATTTGTCTATATGTATGTGCTTAGGCATGTATGTGTGTACTGTGCATGTATGTATGTTTCTGCATGCATGTTCTTGTGTGCATGTGTGCATATGTGTGGATGTATGTTTATATACATGTATATGTGTATGTGAATGTTTGTACATGTATGTGTATGTGTGTGCTTGTGTGTATCTATGTGTGCTTATATGTATGTGTATGTGTGTGCACTTGTGTATGTGTACGCACATCTGTGTATGTATCTATGTGTGTGGGTGTGTGTGTGTGTGGCAAATTGTACCTGGCGCATTACAATTGCTTAATAAATATTATTTATTCATTCATTTACTTATTTTGATTTTTGGAATCCAAGTCTCACTTGCAGCCCAGGTTAGCTTAGAATTCACTATGGAGCCAGGCTCATCTTGAATTCATGGCAGTCCCCTTGCCTCAGTTGAAGTGCCATCATGCAGTGAATCTCAGTTATTTTAAGAAGAGGACACAGACATTTGTTTATGGGTTGTCCATTTAGATGTTCAGGTGACACACATTTGTCTGCACAGACCTAGTTGTGAGAACTGAGGCCAAGGTCAAGACTGCCAGTTAGAGGCCGGGGAGATGACTCAGGAGTGGACCTAAGTCCACCCCCCAGCACTGTTTAGAAAGCCAGGTGTGGTGGCTCACACTTGTAATCCCAGAGCTGGAGAGCAGAGACAGGCGAATCCCGGGCCTTGCCAAATCACTGAGATTCAGGCCACTGAAAGACCCTGTCTGAAAAACTAAGGCGGGCCAGGCATGGTGGTGCATATCTTTGGTCCCAGTGGGAGGCAGAAGTAGGCACTCTATAAGTTCCAGACCAACTTTGTCTACATTGTGAGATCCAGGCTAGCTGGGGCTACAGGGAGACCCTGTCTCAAAAAACCAAATCCAAACCAAACCAAACCAAAACAGCGCCTGAGGAATGACAGCTGAGGTTGAGCTCTGGCCTCCATATAAACATGCATACATGTACATGCACATGCATGGACATATAGAAACACACAATAAAAAAAGTGCTTTACCCACAAGCCATTCTGTGGAACTCAGAGACGCAGACACCAACCTCCAGGGTGCACACTCAGAAGTGAACAGCCTGCCTCCCCAAGATCAGATACAGAGCTGGGCTTCAAAGTTCAAAGGAACACAGCAGGAGAGGCAGACCCTAGGGGACAGGATGGATTCATTCACCTCTGGGTCAGCCTGTGCCAGATTCTTAACGTTCAAGGTCACTCACTGAGGTTTTCATCGGGGTGCCTGGCTCATGAATGACATGATCATTTGAGAATATTTGAGAACACAGCCCCTTACACTGTGCAGTGAGGATGCCCCTTCCCCAAGGTCAAGGCCCTTGACAGACACCCACACCCAGGCTGGATTGGCACAGCTAAGCCAAATGTCTACACTCTGCCCTCCAAGGTCAGGAATGGGGCCAAAGGCCCCTGGAGGCCTTGGGAATGTGGATGTGGTGGAGAAGAGGCTGTCCTGTGGAGGAAAGCACTAAGTTCGCAGCTGGGTATAGGGCTGCACCCAGCCGGTCCTGGCTGGAGGAGGGCAGAGGCCCCAGCTGGTTGCAGCAGGTGGTGGAGACAGGGCACAGGGAATGCCTGAGGGGAGGCTCACCTGCCAGCTCTGGGCAGGTGGGGCTCATGTGGGGAGTAGGAGGACATTAATGGACAGAGACCCCCACCCCCAAGTTTCTCCAGGGCAGGTAGCATCGGGTTACACTGAAGTTTTCCACAGAGGTGGTAGAGATTAGTGAGTTCTCCCGTCACCAGGGTCACCTTCATTTAGTGGCCATCCCTTTCTGAGACACAGTTTGCTCCCTTGGTAAACAAGGGCCATGGTGTCCATCCCATACATGCGTGTGTGTGCGTGTGTGTGTGTGCGTGTGTGTGTGCACATGTGAGACTGTGCTGAGGCTGAATTTGGGTGTCCCCTCTATTTTTCTTTTTTGAGACAGGGTCTCACTGTGTAGCCCCAGCTGTCCTGGAACTCACTATGTAGACCAGGCTGGCCTTGATCTCACAGAGATCCTTCTGCCTCTGCCTTCCAAGTGTTGGGATTAAAGGCGTGCACTACTGTGCTCGGCCCACCCACCTTATTTGAAAAAAATCATTATATTATTGTGTGGGGAGGTGGTGGGTAGGTGCAGGTGCTGTGGTATGCATGTGGTCAGTGGACAACCCAGGCAGTCAATTCTCTCCTTCCACCATGTGGGTCCTAGAGATAGAATTCAGTTCATCACACTTGGCAGCAAGTGCTTTTACTTACTGAGTCATTTTGCCAGACCCAATTTACGTTTGAGACAGGTCCTAGAGCTCACTGATTGGCTAGACCAGATGATCAGTGAGCTCCAGGGGTCCACCTGTCTGCACCCCCCAGTACTGGGATAATGGGCAAACTCTGCCACAGCTAGATTTTTATGTGGGTGCTGGGGATCTGAACCTGGGTCTTCGTGTTTGCACAGTAAGCTTTTTTTTAATATTTATTTTATTTTATGTGTATGTGTGTATTGCCTGCGTGTATGTAGGTGCACCTGTGTCGTGCAGTGCCTGTGGAGGACAGAAGAGGGCGTCAGATCCCCTGGAACTGGAGTTATGGATGGTTGTTAGTTGCCACGTGGGTGCTGGGATTCGAACTCTGGTCTTCTGCAAGAACAGCCAGTGCTCTTAACCACAGAGTCATCTCTCCAGCCCCGCACAGTAAGCTCTTTATCCACCAGGCCATCTCTCCCGCCATCTCATATGGTCATTATGTGTGAGTGCTAAGCGTCCTGCCTGGCTTTGCCTAAGGACCTGCCATGTCCAAACACCTCACAGAGCGTGACACTGAATCCTCACAGTGAACACTTGAGGCCCAGAGGGGTAAAGTAGTTTCCTCAAGGTCACTCAGCAAGGAAGCAACAGCCTCGAGACTCAAACTCAGGTTTAAGGACGGAGGTGGTCCAGCACCTCCAGAGATCATGATGACTCGTGGGTGTTGGAAGGATTCAGGGACATGGCAGGTGGCTCAGGGTCATGAAGAGGTCTCTGGGTGAGGTAGGGGGTGCCAAGTTCCAGGGCTTGTACCCTGTGGGAAAGGGAACACCCCACTCCCACAGACCAGGGCCCGACTTTGGTGCCCCTCACCTGCAGACACCAGCACGATGGACACAAGAAGCAGCCACATTGTGGAGGAAGGTCCAGGGCTTGGAGGAGATCTGGAGAGGGGAGGGCAAAAACTGGGCTAAGACTGAGCCCCAGCCCCGACCGTGATGGCTGCAGACACCAATACATCTCCCTTACCTAAAAGACTTCCCTTCCCTCCGTAGCCCAGGCTGGCCTCACACTCACGATCCTCCCACCTCAGCTTCCCGAGGTGTGCACTGCCATGCTAGGCTAAGATTTCCTTTTTACCACCCTGTCCTCTGTCTTCTGCAGCCTCCACCAGCTCTCCCTCGTAGTTCCAATTGCTGGAAGGTTCTCGCTGTTCCTTTAGGCTCTGGCAGACCCCAGCATCACGCATCATCTCTCTCCATCCCCATTGCCCTGGCTTAGGATGCTACCCAACGTCCCACAGGTCTTGGGTTTCCTGGAGGCTGAAATTACTGGACCCTGCCCTGTACACCTGCCTTCCCTCCTCCCTCCTTCCCTCCCTTTCTACCTCTAGCTCCTCACTGGGGGACTCTAGGCAGGGCTCCACCACTGAGCCACACCCCAGCCCCTCACTGGGGGATTCTAGGCAGGGGATCTACCTCTGAGTCACACCCCAGCCCCTCACTGGGGGATCCTAGGCAGGGGCTCCACCACTGACCCACACCCCAGCCCCTCACTGGGGGACTCTAGGCAGGGGCTTTACCACTGATCCACACCCCAGCCCCTCAGTGGGGGACTCTAGGCAGGGGCTCCACCTCTGAGCCACACCCCAGCCCCTCACTGGGGGATCCTAGGCAGGGGCTCCACCACTGACCCACACCCCAGCCCCTCACTGGGGGATTCTAGGCAGGGGCTCCACCTCTGAGCCACACCCCAGCCCCTCACTGGGGATTCTAGGCAGGGGCTTTACCACTGACCCACACCCCAGCCCCTCACTGGGGGACTTTAAGGAGGGGCTCTACCTCTGAGCTGCACCCCAGCCCTCTTTTGACTGTTTATTTTGAGCCAGGATGTCACTAAGTTGCCTTGAGCTTTTCCACCATCATGCCTCAGCCTCCTGAGTGTCAGGCCTTGACTACCACACCCAGACCCTCCAGGGTCTTTCTATGCCCAGAGCTGAGGGTGCCTCTCTTCTGCTTACAAACCTCTATGGACCTCTGTTGCTCTGGAAAGAGAGTCCCAGACCCTCAGGTGTACTTTCAGGAACAGGAGTGTCTTCCCCCCTCCTGACCTGTTGGCCTGGGTCTCTGTGACCTTGTTGTTCTAGACACAGCCAGGGCTGGACTTCCGCCCGTTAGGTCCATGCCTCCTCATCTTGCTGAGGTTGTTCCTTCTGGGGACCTTTTCTGATGCACCCCCTCCCCCCACGCACACACATAAACACACACATACTCTGCGATGTCTTCCCTCCTTTGTCAGACTGGGACCTCCCTCGGAAAAGACCCTGTCTGACTCTGGGTTCCCAGGCACAGTACTGTGCAGGGTCTGCTCGGTGGAGAGACTTCAGGAAGCTTGGAGAGTGAATTCAAACCCTTCTCATCTTTTCCACTGTTATTTGTCCTTGGAGCTCAGTCTGAGTCTCCTGGGAGACCACCCCCCATCGGGAAGGGATCCTATAAACATTTATCCTGTCCCTAGTGGCCACACATGCTGAGCCCTGTTCCCCATCCTGAGGAAAATGGTAATTCTAGCCAGGCTCTCTGGTTTCCAGCTCAGCCCGGTTTGGGACCTGGCACTGAGGACACCTTGGGGAGGGTGTTCTGAACTGACTTGACCTGGGATAACTGCTGACCACATCCTTGGCTTCAACCACACACATGGGTTTTCAAGGACATCCTCCCGAGTCTCTGCATCCCTTCCTCCTCTCTTGACTGGGGGACATTTTCTTGGTTCAGGTTCAAGCTGAAGCCACAGAAAAGAACACAAAATACTCTGTGCCCTTGACACTTGATTGTCCCAGTAGCCTCTGTCTGCAGGAGACCAGGGAAATTCCCAGCATTCCCTTGCCGCCCCCATCCACCTTCCCAAGCTCCTTTCACAAATATCTCACCCCCTCCAGATCCTCCAGTGACATCCAGGGAAGCTGGGATATCAGAAGAAAGGGGCAGCACCCCAAGCCTGAATTTATAAGCTCCTAGCCCCACCTGGATCTAGGGGGTGGGGTTGGGTAGAGATGGCTGAGAAGCGGCTGAGGGTCAGGTTTACAGGCGGGACGCCCTGGTGGCAGGTGGGGTGGGAGACTAGGTTGGTCTAATGAGCGTTTATTAGTCTGAAGCCTTTGTCTGAGTCTGTAAGGAGGAATTTTCCCCAGGGGCAGTTCATCCAAGGGGAGGGTACAGAAGGGCGGGAGGACAAAACTGCAGGACATTCAGTGCGGTTGGTATAGGGTGTGGAAGAACCTGGATTCTAAAGTCATACTTCTTGGGTCTGAGGGACAGAGTTCTATAGCTGTGACTCTGTTTTGGTTTTGTTTGGTTTTTATTTACTTCCATGTGTATGAGTGTTTTGCCTGCTTGTGTGTCTGCAATGTCTTTAGAGGCCAGACGAGGGTGTCAGATTCCCCAGGAACTGGAGTTACAGATGGTTCTTAGTCTCCATGTGGATGCTGGGAACCAAACCCAGGTCCTCTGCAAGAGCAGTCAGTGCTCTTAACTGCTGAGCCGTCTCTCCAACCCCTGTTTGTTTTGAGACAACAACCTTACTATGTAGCTCAGGCTGATCTTGATCCTCCTGCTTCAGTCCCAAGGCCTGGGATGACAGGTATTTGCCACCACGCCCAGTTTGGAACTTGGATCCTGGGTTTATGCTATGTAGACTGGAGGGATCTTGAACATGGTATTCATGACCTCAAGTCTGGAGTACAGAGTTCAACTATTTATTTTTAAGATTTATTTATTTTTATTTTATGTATATGAGTGTTCTGCCTGCATGTGTGTACACCTATGTATGAAGTGCTCACAAAGGCCAGAAAAAGGTATTGGATTCCCCGGAACTGGAGTTACAGGTGGTTGTTAGCTGCCATGTGGGTGCTGGGAACTAAATCCAGGTCCTCTGCAGGAGCAGACCATGTTCTTAATCCCTGAGTCATGTCTCCAGCTCCTTTATTGATTAAAAAAAATGTAAAGTGTGCATATGTGTGTATATGTGTGTGTGTATGTGTGTGTATGTATGTATTACTCATCTCTTCCTCCTCCCCTCCCACTTCCTCTTCCTCTTTCCCTTCATTTTGTTCTCTCTTCCTCTTCTTCTTCCCCCTCCCTCCTCTCCCTCCTCCCCCGCCTCCCCTCTCCTCCTCTCCCTCCTCTCCCTCCTTCTCCCCTGCTTGCACTTGCCCTGGGTTCCATCTGAGGTGTGTCAGCACATGTCTGTAATCCCAGTACCCAGGAAGTGGAGGTAGGAAGATCAGGAATTTAGGGCTATGTTCAGCTACACAATGACTTTGAGGCTAGCCTGGGCTATATGAGACTTGCTTCAAACAACAGCAATGAAAACAAAAACAGCAAAGAAAAGGGTTGGACTGGGTCAGACCTAGTGTTGCATGCCTATAAATTATAATCCCAGCACTTAGGAAGTAGAGAAAAAAATGCAAGGTTTGAGCCAGCCTGGGCTATATAAGTTCAAATCCAGCCTAGGACACCTAGTGGAACCCTGTCTGAACAAAAATAAATAAGCCTGGCCTTGAAGACAGCTATGGCTTGATTCTGAGATTGTTGCTGTTGTCTGTGGGGCCTGCACTGGGGGACCCCTAGGCAGTTGGTGTCTGGGCTCTGGATTCCGCAGTGTTAATTCTGGGGTCTGGAACTCGGCCTCGGAACTCTGCATTCTGTAGGCTGAGAATCATCAGGGAGATGACCCAAGGCTTCCGGTATTTGTGGCTGGGCTCCTGGTGTCTCAGAACTCCCAGAGGGCCTTGAGCAATTGTCTAGAGCTAGCTAATGAGAAGGTCCGTGGGACTGAGCTGAGGTCACCCACTAAGGACAGCGCCTTGTCTGGCTCGGTCCCTCCCTAGGTCTAGGAAGCAGTCGCTTTTACGGGGAGAAACCTGAAAGGCTGGCTCAGCCCGAGAGCTTCAGTCACAGATGTCTCTGGAACACTGGCTTTTAGGTTCGAGGGCACTTTGTCAGCTCACGTCCTCAGAAACCCTGGAACCCAAGGTGTTAGAATCGTCTAGAACCGTGTGCAATCAGGCAACCTGGAACCCCTGAGCTTTCAGATGCTGTGGGACCCCCAGACCTGCAGGCATTGGAGAACTTCAGGTCTCTGGTCCAGACCTGTGGACACCTGGATCCCTGGAGCTGTTCTGGAAGTTTCCCTGCAGATTCACGTTCAGTGTTTCGCCTCACGCTGAGCTGGGCTTCCACTGAGCAGATGTTGGCAGGATGCTGACCCCGGCCCTCTGCTGCCCTTCAGCCATCTTGCCTTTCTCTCCGCTTCCCTGGGAGACAGCTCCTGGGCGTCCCAGGAGTCTGGGACTCCTTAGCTAGTAACGGAAGTTCAGAGAGGCAAAGGTCACTGAGAAGGGCGAGGGGACAAGGGGAGGGAATCTAGTGGTCTGATTCCCAGGTTCCAGCAACCTGCGTCTTGGTTGGAGCACCTGGCAACCTGGGGAAAAACAGAAACTGGGCTTATAGTAGGAGCTTTTAGGGGGGTGCAGGCCTTTGCTAAACTTTCCACTATAAAGCCACATGCTACTGTGAAATTGTCCAGGCAGGTACTGATTGTGTTTCCCAGTCACACCTGGGGGACATCTGGGGAAATCCCACACCCAGCCCAGTGCAGTCTGGGGCTTGGGCTCTGGGATGTGTCTGCCCCTCCCTCTAGCGGTGACCTCATCTCTGTGTTCTGTCCCTCAGGCTGGTTGCAGCCATCCTCCTGGTTTCTGTGGAGCCAGCTGTCCTTCACCTCCCTGGGCCTCGGTCCTGGAGCTCTGTCCTTCATTACTCTGCCTCTTCCTCCTGCTCCTCCTCTTCCTCCTGCTCCTCCTCCTCCTCTTCCTCCTTCTGCTCCTCCTCCTCTTCCTCCTTCCCCTCCTCT